GATGGTCACTCTCTTGGTGTGCTCATTGGCAACTTAAACATCAGTTGTCTTGTCATTTCTTGGCTTTTCCAATGTCTGTACTAACATGGCAATAGAGTTCGGGTTGGTAGCGGTTTGCATAAAGGAAAAGTTAAAGAATCACTTAAAAAAACTTTTCAAAGTCTTGATAATTAGGAAAGAAAATGTCAGGATGAAGTCATACCTCTACAAGGGCATGAAAAACAACCTTAGCCATGTCTCAAGCACTACACTTAGTCGCTTCCTAAAGATCAGGCTTGGACAACACAAACAAAGTCAAATGAGTAGTCAGGTACATACTGCATAATAAAGAATTCGAGCCCCATAGTTGGCCCACTGGAATCCTGTTGAATAGAGACAGTCTCAACATTCCCCTGCTCTATAGTTTCTAAGTGACGAGGGGTGGCCTTCTCTGGAATCTTACCTATCTTCTCCTCGTGAACTCTTTCAGGTCAATTTAAAAAATGATCCTCCTCGGTAGAAACATAGATTAGCACGATGGACAACCTTTTCGGATTACACTTCTTCAGCAGGAGGAGGGGTTAAATACCCCAACAGTCTTCTTCGGGCCTTTCACCAAGCGTTTGAACTACTTAGGAGGCCTCACAGCTCCTTATTCGATATTTCTTTCCTTGTTTCCATAGCTCTTTTCTAGGCACTCTTGTTTGGAGCCATCTCAATAGGTGATGTATAAATGAACATGGATATGAGAAAACAAAAAGAGAAAGGAACACCCACAAAAGCATACAAAAGAGCAAGACATTACTACTCACTAGAAATAGGCTCTTCCCAAATAGAGCTGGTTCTTTGAAAGTTTCTCAAGGGTAAAAAGCTTAGCCTAGAGCTTGGCATCATGCTCTTCACACTTGTTGATGTTAGATTTTTTAGACTTAAGTAGTGAAGGCACAAACTCTATAGACAAAAGCCACAATAGGTTAACGATCAAACTTCATTAACATAAGCCTCAACTGAGACGAATAGAGGATAAACTTACTTATATTAGTGGGGGAAGCCCAGAGTCGAGGAACTCAGAGAATCTTGTTAAGATTCCCCCTGAACTCCTAAGTGTTCCCAGAGACAAAGAAAAAACCCCTATTCTAATGCTTATGGAAGAAAGGTTTTTGATGACAGGTTAGGCAAGTCTCCTCTCTTAGCAAAGTAGAAAAAACCCATAAAGGGAGAAGGTTTTAGTTGAAAAAATGGAAGAACTCACAAATGGTATGAGGGGAAATGTTCCCTCTCTCACGTTAGTGCACCAACATTCCCACTTATAGTCCCTATGTTGTGGGATAACCGAGTAGAACGTAACTTTAGATGGCCAAGAATTACTCTAATAAAAGGGTATAAAGGAAACCTAAGGCCGACTTGGAACGCGACCTTAAAAAAGAAGACATTCCTAAGGTAATAGATGTGGCAACGCTCATCCTTGGAAGGGATAGAAACCACCACTCCCCCTAGGGAATCCATACTTATCTTAATAGACTAGACATGAGACTCTATAATCACATTGCGTACCCCAGAAGCACAACATGTCAGGTTATTTGATATAGGATACTAAAAGCTTACTTTGTTGTAGTGAAACTCATCTTATTAATTAATAGAAATTTGTTCTTTCCATTTTATTGAAAATTTATATGAGCAAAATATTTACACTATATTTAATATATGGTATGCATGTCTGTCTTATATTTTACATTGTAGAAAATCTGATGTGTAGAGTTTGACTTATACACAGAAAATCATATTATTTGATCATTGTATAATATAAGTATATATTCACAATCCTAGATGAAATTGAACACACCATCAGTATGTTCGTAGTGTAATATTCTGGCATAGTCTGTCTTGATTGTAGGAGACTGTTTGATATCTCAGATTATTACACTAGTACACCTGGTGTATTGAATAGACCTATGTTGATGTTATTATCTTTTACTGATTCAATAAGATAATAAATAGCTCATGATTATTATGATTGCTTATACTCTTAATTCTGAAATATTTAATTTTCACGTGCATATCATGTTTGTCACTTTAATTCATTAAAGAGTAAGATTCTTATTGAGTCAATAACCTCGGTGAATTTAGAGATGAAGTTATTTGTATGGTGAAAATTAATTATTAAAGGAAACCACGTTCTAGTATTTAAATGAGTTGATGATATTTTTTTGAGGAAGCTCATAAGTTTTGTCCATGGCAAACTCTGCAGGTAAATTTAATTATTCGACATGACAAATAAGTTGAATGGTAAGGCCTCAAGGAATAAAAGAAGTTAATTAAATATAATTGTCAATAATTTATTTAATTAATGGACCTCTGTAATCTTAAACATAGAGAGATTATTAAGCATATAATAATGAGTTCGAATATAACTTTGAGATAAGGTTTAGGAGATCAATAATAAGTTTTTAGTGGACTGACTTATTATTAATGGGATGTCAGATGTTTGTTCTGGGTTGAACATAGGAATTTTAAGCCCATTGGAAGCCCATTCTTTATTTATTCTTAGGGTTTCTATCGTAGCCTATATATAGCCGTCTACGCTTTTTAAATTAGCATCAATTCATTACTCACGTTTTTGAAAGAGGCTAAAAGGGAGAGCAGAAGTTCGGAAGTTCTAGTAGCATACACAGCATCCGGATTCTGATGTTAGAGGATATACGATAGAAGGCCGTGAGGTTTGCCGAACTGTCTTTCGCGTTTGTTGTTAGGCCCTGCATTCGTGCTGAGACGAGATCAATCCAGAGCGATGTCGAAGGTAAACCCTAATTTCGCTTTGTAGGGTTTTAAATGAAGTTTTTTGGTATTTGATACATACGCACTGTCAATGGTTCTTGAGATTTCCATTCCAACAATTTAGATCACATGGCGCCCTCTTCCTTTTTTGTAGAGGTACCAATGACTGATGAGATACACTTCTTATAGATATTACTTAGGGACCTCCTCGGCCCCTCCTTAGCTACCTTCTCGAGGACACCTTCAAATGGCTAAGAGGCAATCTCATTAGGATATGCAACAATCATAGGATCCTTATCCTCTAAGATATCTTTGAGGTCAAGGTGGCCACCCTTAAAGGCTGAACTGGCCTCAATTTGAGTGGACTCATCCTTAAATATATAGACCATGGAAGTTGATGAAGAAATGACTCGAGGCATGGGAACCAAACAGTTAACCTAAGGTATAAGTGGGAAAGCTTCAAAAGACTATTACCTAAAGATTGGAGGCTCTAGACCCGAGTTGTAGACAAGGGAGATCATTGCCAGAATAGGACAATCAACAAAACTGAGAAGTTGATATAGACACTTTCCTAGACAGCGATGGTAGCAAACCCTAAAAGCCATAAAATAGAAGCAATTTGACCATCACCAAGGGCCAAATAATTCCAGTTTGAGAGGTAAAGATGAGACGTACCTAAAGGAAGAGCAGACTAGACTCGAAAGACGACAAGAACAGTATACTTCGGTGATGGAAATGACGACGATCAAACGAAACCTTTCTCTCTAGTTCGAAGAACACAAAGAAGATGATTGGAGAAGACAAAGAAAATAGGAAAATTTGGGACTTAAAAGATGTCTGGCGATTAAAAGTGCCCTGAAGTGCATATAATGCGCCAACATTTGCATGACACTTGTTGCCTTTTGAGAGGTGTGGTCCAAAAATCGAGGCACCACACACGTGACATGCCACTATAATTGCATGTTGACAGGATAATGGTCAGATATGCCTATTCAGCTCTACGCAATCAAAGGAAGATGATGAATAGCACAATCAAAAGCTAAGCCCCTACTAAGGGCCTATTTAGGCCCAACTTGGGATTAGGGAACAACAGATGATACTTGAAAAATAGGCAGGTCTGGTGTGCTGGCCTGGAAAAGAAACTTGAGCTAATATGAAGACAGTCCATGGTTGACCTGACGACAGCCCAGGACAAGGACACATCACCAGATCCATTGAACCAATCACGATTGATCATAGTATGGAAATTACCTGAATGGACAGAGAAAATCCTACCTTGAGCCAAAAACAATGCCACCTAGAAATTCACTCCAAGTCTTGTGTCTAAAGTCTCTCAATCACCAAGATTCTTAGAAATATTTTCCTAACAAATTTGTTATATAAGCATTGGAATCGTGTGACAATGTGTAAGCATATACACTGCCCTTAAAAAATCCTACTTATATCCTCTTCTTCCTTGATTAATAACACTGGCCGCCCCTTAGACTAGGCAATCGAAGTCATCGTCTAGGGCCACATATTTTTTGGGCCTCAATTATTTTGTTTAGATTTAGATTTATTGACCTTCTTATTCTTTTAAAAAAATTAGATTCAAGTTTAATTAAGTCTAGATTTATTTTCAAGGTCCCAAATAAAACTTTTAAATCAATGCTCAATCAAATCAAATTTTATTTTTTGGGCCCATAATTCTTTTTTTATAAATGCAGGTCCAATTTTTTTGATAAGTTAAATTTATTTAAATTTAAATTGAGTTTGTTAATAGTTGTTTTCTGTTGTCATGACATCATATAAACATCATTAGCGTATATAATATTTAACTTCAAATCTAGTCTCTTACTATTTTGTTGAATATTAGTCCTTGAATGAATTTTATAAATCTAAATAATATAGTAAACAATTTGAATACAAAAATTTAAATAGTAAGTTGACATCTGAAATAACAAGAAATTTATTTTAAATAAATATATTTTAATAAAAATAAAAATATTATATATTATCATAATAATCATAATTAATGAAACTTTATCCAACAAGGCGATTACCTCTAATTTCACTTTTTAATCATTTAATTCGCAATTTATCACTTATGGTGCTTCTCAATTTTTACACCATAAAAAATCATGTGACTTAAACCCAAAAAATAAAAAATAAAAAATAAAATAAAATCATGTGAGACAACATGCAAATTGAGTATCATGTACTTTCCCATAAGATGAAGCCTATACGTATCTGAAAAAAAACCCCAATCCTTTCCTTTCCTTTCCTTTCCTTTGGCAGTTCCTTCACGAGTCTTCCACGGGTTTATCAAATCGCCGGACTTCCTCTGAGAGAGAGAGACAATTGTGTGTGAGAGGATTGTAGAGATGGCGAAAAAGAGAAAGTCTTTGGCAACGAGTCTAGACGAGGTTGATCGAACTATGCATACAACGTTTTGTAGCGCGGCGAATACGCTTTCTCAGCTCTATAGTCAGGCCATGAACCAGCAAAAACTCTCCTTTCAAGCCGGTGAACGCCATGGATTGGTACAAATTCTTGTCCTTTGATTGCATATATATATGTTCATATGAAAGTTCTGATTATTTTGGTGGTTGTTTGAGATAAATCCGTGTAAGTTTTGAATTTGATTGTTAATTTTTTTGTTCTAATTGTTTGCTAATCCAATCTCTGAAGATTATTTATTGTGTGGATGTTGTTAGGTATTGCTTGGTTTGTCGTTTTGCTTAATCCAATTACTGTTTATGTTTTTTAATAAATTGAATTTAGGTTTTAATGTATCTAAGTCAGCTAATTGTTTTTAGCCCAATTGCTTAATGCAAGTAATAGTTTCTCAATTATGTAATTGTGGGCATCCCTGAGGTTTAAAATTCGATGTATTAGAACAGACGTGTTTTGGTTTATTGGGGGAGAACTTACAAGGTTGGCTAAGCATAAGAACATTTGTTTGCTTTACTGACTCATAACAAAATATTCATGACCCCCAGTCGATGGGTATTTTGAGAGTTTTGTAAGGGACAATCTCATTTGGATGTTTTTGTGTTTGAAACATTGGGCATGTTTCTCAGCATTCTGTGTATGGCAGGATTTTTGGAAGTTCCCTAACAGGGTTGTTTACTGCACAAACAATTAGTTATTCAAAGCTAGGAATTTTTACTGTGTTAGCGCACATAAAAGGGGGTGGAAGCTATCTTAGGAGAGAGTTTACCCAATCAATCTCTTTATAGTATTGGAAAGAAGCAATATTAGGTCAGAATATAGACAATTTCTAAATCGGTTTTCATCATTGTATTCTAACTTGGGGGCTGTTTTGTGGTGCTTGGAAAAGCTGAACTATTAAGCATGAGAATAGGGGATTGAATGTGCGAGTGAAACTTAAGGATGACCTCACTCAATTCTTCTAGCTTCCCAGCTCAGGTGGTTTTTCCTGTAACCTCACCAACACAAAAGTAGAAAGCATAACTGTGGCGGATTCACTAGATAACAAAGCAGTGGATTATTGTGGTATCCCTGAATCAGACCACTAATTAGTAAACAACTATGCGGTTTTATGGACTTGGGTTGATTAATAGAGTGGTATTATTACATTCACAGTTGCAGGAAGAAATTACGTGTACGTGGTAACTGGAATTCCATACTAGAGGAGGACGATTGTGGTGCGGTTGGAAAATTACTTGTTCTTATAATTTGCAAATTATGTGTTCGCATCTGAGATTCTTGTATATGCAGAGTGTTGTTGACTTTTTTTTTTAAACCTAATCTGGCCAAATAATGTGGGTCCCTATTCTCTTCCTCCTGCTATTTCTGACTATGGGTTTTTTGGGTTAAATAGGTTTCTGTATTGTTTATCTTATTGATTGATAATGGAAAAACATTTCAAAAGTATAGAGGGGGAATATTGAACTAGGATGAAAGCAAACATATTGCGCAGTTGGTGTATTTTAGATTTTTTGAAACTTCTATCGGTTAAATCTTAATGTTGTGTTGCATACAATGAATTGCCACTTCTTTTATATCCCTCAAGAAAAGTTCATATTAGATTGACTAGTTATGCTAATACGTGGAACATAACTCCCTCACATATTAGGTATTTTTATATGTATATAGTGCTGAGTGCTGGTGCTAGCTTAGCTAATTCAGGGTAGAACAAAAAGGACAGGGCAAAACTCTACTTTATTCAATTGTTTCTATTTTAACAATCCGGTAGAGTTTCTTGCTTCAACCTGATCTCTGTGACTTTTCTTGCCGTGCTTATATAATTGTTTTCAGCTCGTGCATGATTCATAAATGACTGTGTGATATTGGATGGATATTGTGATTCCATCCCCTCCCTCCCCCGGCCCAAAACCAACAACCACAATATTTCTTTTTGGCTTTGGCTCTTTCTTAGTTCATAGATATTTCTGCGATTAATATAATACAATTTGTGTCTGAAGAAACCTCCAATGGAGGTCTCTATGCTTAATTAGGTTTCCACTTTCCAGTTGTTTAATTACATAACCTGTCTTGTTTAGGCATTTACCATTATCTTTCAGTTTAGGCTTTATTATGGAAGTTTGACCTAAATTTGGTACCAACTTTTGCAGGACAAACTCTATCAATGGATTCGGAGGCAACAAGAGGGAGGATCAAGAGTGACCACAATTGACATACTCACCTACCTTCAGGTTTAATTTTTTTTTTCTTGACGATTTACTTGGCTTGTTTGTTATATGATTTTTCATCCTTTGTTTTGTGTTCAAGTGTGACTTTGCATGTGCAATGTTTTTTGTTTGATTTCCACGACTTTCTGGAAATTTGTACGTTCGACTTTTTTCATTGAAGTTTAAAAAATAAAAATAAAAATTAAATGACCTCTAAACATTTGACTCTACAACAAATTCTCTTAGTTTAATTTTTGGTTGCATTTTCTTGAAGCATCCAATTCTATTAATTATCTTGCAGTAATTTTCACCCTGTTGTTTGTTTTACCATTTTTCTTTTTTTTTTTTGTATTTTGTATTTGTTTTTGATCTCCATGAAGAGTGAGCTGGACTATTATGGAGAGGAGCCATCAATGTCACCCAGAGCACCTCTCCAAAATCAGCATTCACAACCCATTATGCATGGCACAAACTTGGGCTTCCTGGTGTCTCCTGGCTCGTCTGGTGCACCAGCTGCTGCGCAGGGGTTGCGGTCTGAGCACTGCGACCAGCAGTCTAAGAATTATGTTTTCTCAAATGCTCTGTCAAGCCCTGTTCGTCGGAGTCTTCAGAGCTATACTATTAGTGAGGGGGGCGGCAGCTATAACAGTGTTCAGCCCTCTTCAAATGGAATGAGGAACAATGAAAGCAACTTTGTCCAACACCAGCATAGGGATAACCATCCCAGCTCCAACGATTCTTCCATGGACATGCATGCAGATAGTTTGGATCATGACTCTACCTACTGAAATTTCTGTTAGAGTTAGTGAACAAGCTGCTTGCCAAGTGTTGGTCAAGAGTCTTCGAATTGCTATTCCAGTCCTGTGGCTGTATCTATTACTGCCGGGTTGCAATTGAGAAAAAAACACAGAGGAATGTCTGTTTGATGCAAGATTAAACTAGTGGCAGGGGTGACTTGAAGTGGGTGAAGAAAAATCGATATAGTTCATGGGACAGAATACAAATCGATGGGTACCAAACTTGTCAGGTAGACTTTATATTGAATCATTTTGTTTGTTTGGGTCATCTATGTTTGATGTAAAGTGTTTCTTTGGAGTAGGTTCCAATATGTTTGCACTGGTATTATTTGTTGCATGTAACACCATATTTTTTTAGTTTTATGTGCTTATTTTGGACAATACATTTTCATTGAAAATTGCAAACATGTACATGTGGTCTATTAAGGTTGGGAATAGATTAGAATGCTGTTGGGTTCGTGTTCTGTTGAAATTTGCTGGGTTGGTGTCTTGTCTTTTTATAGTCGTGTATAACCAGAATGCTTCGTTTACAAGTCTATCTGTTGTCAGGTTTGTATCTATCATTTATCACATGGTCTGCTTAATTAATCTGATTATGATCTATCATGTTAAGTATTCTCAACTCTATGCTCTGTATAGTATATTTGCTTAATCTATGAAATTTGCTTTGCTTTGACGAAGATCATTTTGGTACTTAGGTTTGTGCATTTACGAAATTGCTAGTAAGGGAAAGAATTTCACAGCAATAATGTCAATTTCTGTTCATTCTTTGCTTTCGACTTGTTATCTACCAAGTAGGTTTTGTCACTCTTGAGTTTGAATATCTTAAGCAGAGTAGGGAGGGTTTTGTGGGAAACCACCAACCCCCCGCGCAGGGAGAGGGGAATGTGAAGAAAAACAATAAAGCTTACAATCTGCACCTTTCTTCGTACTTGAGACGTATTAAATCTAGGGTTGGCAATTCTTAACTTCACATGTTAATCCAATACGAATTAGCCGATGAAGTAGTTTTTTGGAATCGAGTTAGACAAGGGATAACCCGACATACTTGTTTAGTGAATGGATTGATATGAACTCAGCTAAACCCGCCACTAGCTTGGGTAAATACGAGATAGTTGATACGACACGAATTTGATTGTATAAAATTATTATAAATAGGTCAGGGGTGGCCTGAGCTGTTTTGATGCCTAAAGCAGGTTTTTTATTTTTTAATATTAATATAATTTTGTATTCAATTTTTATTTATCTTATTTTTTAAAATTCAAAATTACTAATAATTTTTTTTGTATGTTCTTCATGATCAAGTTTATTATATTTCATTTTTGACCATCATTATACAAATTTTATGTTATTTTTTCATCATATAATTTGAATATCTTCTAATTATTTAAGATTTATCATTAGTTTATTTCAAAACTTTCATTTAAATCTTTTGTTATTGTTTTACTACTAATAGTTAATTTATTAAGAGATTTTTTTTTTTTTGGTGATTTAATAAGTTTTTCTATTTTTTTTTTAAGTTCCTTGTATTTGAATTGTTTTTTTAGTGGCCATAGCTTTTTTACAGTCCAATTTTTTTTATAAATCAATCAAATACTCTCTATAAGAAAAAATTTAATAAAAATCAAAATTATAAAATAATAACACTTATTTTTATCATTAGTGTTCCTATAATTGAAGATATTATAATGTGATTCTCCTTTAATATTATTTATAAAAAAATAATAAATAGAATAAGTCGATTGATACTATATTTTGTACAAAATAACATTGAAAAAGAAAAAGTGCGAGCATAAAATAACATATCGGGGCTCAATTGATGACCTTTGTTATGTGAATTAAAAAGGTGATCTAAGTTAAAAGGGAGAGAGAATCGCTTACTTTGTTTTTAGATGGAAATAAAAATTAAGAGTTTGTGTGTGTGTGTGAGAGAGAGAGAGAGAGAGAGAGAGAGAGAGAGAGAGAGAGAGAGAGAGAGAGAGAGGGTTGATGTTTTAATAGGATAGACATAAGAGAAAGAATGTGTTTGTAGGAGTGGTCCAAGATTATTTGAGGTTTAAAAGGACTACAACAAATGAGGTTTTTTATTTTTAATATTAATAATTTTTTATTTAAAATTTATTTTTTTAGATTAAAAGTAGTGTAATCTTTATTGTGATAATCGATCTTAAGAAAGATTTTATTAATTTTAATTTTAAACAATCATAATCTATTGATTTTAATTTTTATAATTTAATAAAAAAAATTGGTTTATTTGTCATAATAGAAATAAAAAAAATTCGAAACACAAAAAAAGAAAAAGAGAATTTGTATTTACTAAAGAGTGTGTGAGAGAGAGTCTTAGTTTACTAGAAAGAGACAATGATTACAAATGAATGGGATGTTTTGGTTGACTAGTTAAAATTGTTTTTTTAACCCTTAGTTTTTTCTTTTTTTTTTTTCTAAAAAAATTATTTTAGTATATTTTTAATATTATGGGTTGGGTTCATGAGCCCAAACTATTCAAATTTATTTTTGATTTCATAAAACTTTTTTTAAGGTCTAAAATTTTATGAATTTAAAAATTTTGATTTGTACTAACTATACACCTAAAAAATTTGAGGTCTTCTTGAAATATAGAGCCTAAAGCCCAGGTTTGTTGGCCTGGTGATAGGGCGACCTTGTGTGTTTGATTGATGTAATTGACTCTTTGACCGATTAGAGAGAGTAATTAATGATATTTATTATTTTTTGAACGAATTTTTCATTTTTGCATTTGACAGTCAAATATATATATATATATATATATATATATATATATATATATATATATATATATATATATATGGGTTAAAATTCCATGTTTTTAACCAAATGGATTATGAGCTTTTTACTTTTGCTATGTCACAAACATTTTTGGGCTTTTGGGCCCAATATTGTTAGAAATTAGCCATAATCTTAAAGGAGTATATTGAGCTGAGTTTAAAAGGAGCCATAATCTAGTTCAATCATTATTTACCATCTGAGTTTAAAATGAGTATAGTGATCTGTGGTAAATTTAGCCATAATCTTAAAGGGCATGTTGACTTAATGAAAGAACAGATTAACAATCTTAAAGCCAAACTAAAGTACAGCCAAAACAATGTTATTAAGGAAAAGCTTGTCCAATATAAAAAAAAAGTTGAATGTTCCTCTTTCCTATGTGACAGGCTTCTATAAAGACATGTCGGTGCAGTTTAGAACCTAAATATCAGACAGTAATAATGGGGTCCAAACACTTTTAAAAAGTCTCTCTCTCTCTCTCTCTTTACATACTTGAAATGAAATGAAAATGAAGCTTACCAACAGTTTCACAATCAGTTCCTACATTAGGGAATCCCATGCAGCTTGCTAACCCTTTGTGTGTACAAAACATTGATGTGGTTTTTTTTTTTTTTAATTATAATTGAGAGTTGTTCGATGCTGCTGTTACATAAATCTCAGATTTGCACGCACTCATAGATTATGTGCATCAGATCAATCCGAACTTTTTTATGATATTTGAACTCATGATTTTGAGGAATTTAATGTTGGAAGTTTTACCTTTCAAGTTGCCTTGACAAGTTAATATGAGGGATGTACTCACTCCATAGATTGTCATGTAACAAGATTAGGTATTTGTTTTGTAGCTAACAATAACATTTTTAGTAGGGGTGTTAATCATGTCGTGTCATTTTTAAAACGTGTCTTGTTCGTGTGAATAAAAAATTATTTAATTTTACAATAACTCATGTAATATTATTTTAAAAATTAAAAAATATATATAAAATAATCATTTTTTGTCTATAATATCCATTAAATGCCTATTGTTTTTGTTTACAATATCCATTAATTATATTATTCATATCTAATTTTAATTTGACCATGTAAAATAAAATGGATCATTTTTGGGTTTTGGGTATATGCCACGTTCGAGCTCCCGGATAAAATTGACGACCCTAATTTTTAGCTTACATGACCACACTAAAACTCTTTTGCTACAGCCCATAAGTTTGGTTATTAGAGAGCAGTCACTGCTATACCTCTTTGACCATTCCATCATTAACCCAACAAGTTTCCTTTATATAATTTTGGGAAAATTTCATCCACCCCTACTCTAATTATGTGTAAATTTGATGATACTTCTTTTCGATTCTGAAACTTTACTGCATCCCTTTCTGGTTTATATTTTCAAATCAAAGACACTAATTTAACAGTAATTTTTAACTCTATCAGTACAAAAAATAACTGTTTGACTATAAATTTTTTCAAAAATATCAAAACTATCCTTCCTTATATATATATATATATATATATATATATATATATATATATATATATATAT